AGGTGGTATATGTATACAACATAATATTATTTAGCCATTAAAAAAAAGGAAATTTTACCATTTGTAGCAACATGGGTGGGCCTTCAGGGTGCTATGCTACATGAAATAAGTCAGATAATCGCAAATCATTTATGTGTAATCTAAAAAACAAAACAAACAAATATAAAATTCATGGAAATGGAGAACAGAGTGGTGGCTGCCTGAGGGAGGATGGTTGGTGAGTGGGGGAAATGGGTGAGAGGGGTCAGTAAGTACAAAGTTCAGTTGTGACAAATGAAGAAGTCATGGGTATGTGGTGTGCAGCATGGTAACTACAGTCAATGGTATTGCAGTGCATATTTATAGATTACACAAAAATAGATCTTGAAAATTCTTATGACAAGAAAAAATTTTTTGTAATTTTTTTTGTGGTAACACATGGTGATTAGATTTACTGAGGTGATCAATTTGCAGTGTACACAAGTGTCAAATCACTGTGTTGTACACCTGACCCTAATATAAAGTTGTACATCAATTTAAAAATAAGGCAGAAAAACGGGGAAAAACAAAAACCAGAGGGGACAAATACACACACACACACACATACACACACACAAACAGCAAAATTGGAGATTTAAACACAGCCAAATCAATAAGCATATTAAATTTAACAGGTCTAACACTCAAATTAAAAGGCATAGATTTTCAAATTGGATAAAAAGCAAGGACAATTGTTTTAAGTATTGCACATTGAATATAAACACAGAAACAAGTTAAATGAAAATATGAAAAACAGTATATCAAGCTAAACTAATAAAAGAGCTGGGATGATTTTATTAATATCAAAGTAGATTACAAAGAAAAGAACATTAACAGTGTTAAAATAAGTCATACTAATAAAGGTATCAATTTATTAAGAAGAAATGATAATCCCAAAGTTTACACACTTAATAATGGAAATTTGAAATACATAAAACAAAAAATAACAGAAATTCAAGGAAAAAATAAATACATAATTATAGTTAAAGGTTTCTATCTCTGTATCTCATAAATTTATAGAAAATTAGGCAAAAAATTAAGAAGAATGTAGTAGACTTAATAACACTACATGCCAACTTGATCTAATTGATATTTAGAACCTTCCACTACTCAAAATCAGAAACACATTCTCCTTAAGTATACATAGAACATTTACAAAGATATACTATATTCTGAAGCATAAGATAACTATAGGGGAATTTAAGGGAATTAAGTCATACAAACTATGGTTTATGACTACAATGAAAATAAATTAAAAGTCAATAATACAAAGTTATCTGGAAAATGCCCAAATATTTATAAATTAAATAACATACTTCTAAATACCCCAAATGAGTCAAAGAAAAAATAAAAAGGAAATTAGACAGTATGTGGAACTGAAGGAAAATAAAAACATCACATAACAAAACCTGTGGGATGATGCTAAAACATTATTTGGAGAGATAGTTATAACAGTACAAACCTATGTTAGGAAAGATGAAAGGTCTCAAATTAGTAACTTCATTTTCCATCTTAAAAACCAGAAAAGTTACTGAAATATATAGTAAGCAGGTGAAAAAAATGAAGCAATAAAAATTACAGTGGAAAACAATGCAAGAAAATGGAAAAACAATAGAGAAAATCAGTGAAACCCAAAGGTAGTTGGTTCTTTGGGAAAAAAAATAAAATAAAATTGATAAACCTGAAACAAGGCTAAGCAAGATTTAAAAAAAGAGAGGACACAAAATAAGAACATCAGGAATAATGATACAAATATCACTAACGCTTCTACTGCTATAAAGAGGATAATAAGGGACTATTATGAACAATTTCATGCGAATGAATTTGATAAATTTGCTAAAAATGGTTAAATTCTTAAATTCTTAAAAGACAAGGATAAAAAAGCTCAATCAAACAACAACAACAACAACAACACAGATAAACTCAATACCTCCAAGTCTCTTAAACAAACTGAATTTGTAGTTAAAATATCTTAACATTAAAAAATTTCAGGCCAGATGGCTTCACTGGTGAATTCTACCAATCATTTAATAACAATTTAACGTTGAATTCTTCTAGAAAATAGAACAGGAGAAAACACTACCCAGCTCTTTCTATAAAACCGGATTTGCTCTGACACCAAAATTAGATATAAACAATACACGAAATCTATAGTCAAATGTCCCTCATAAAAATAAATGTAAAAATTCTTAACAAACATTTAGGAAATATCATCTACCAATATGCAAAAAAGATAATGCATCATGACTACACGAGAGGGTTCATCCATAGGCAAGATTGCCTCAACATTTGAGAATCAATCAATATAATTCACCTGTTAAAACATTAAAGAAGAAAAAACATATAATATCTCAATAATGGCAGTAAAAGAATATTACAGGAGCGCCTGGGTGGCTCAGTCGGTTGAGCATCCAGTTCCTGATTTTCGCTCACATCAGGATCTCATGGTTTGTGGGACTGACCCCTGCATCAGGCTCTTTGCTGACAGTGTTGAGCCTGCTTGGCTCTCTGCCCTTTCCATGCTCATAAACAAACAAACAAACAAACAAACAAACAAACATTTGGGGAAAAAAGAAAAAGAAATGAAGAAATAAAAGAATATTACAAAATCTTACATATCTGATAAAAATTCAACAAACTAGTAACAGAAGGGAACTTTCACAAAGAACATATCAAAGAAATACATGATATTCATAATGGAAAAGAAGTAAAAACTCCTTATTTGCAGATTACAAATAGAAAATTCCATGGTGTCTACCAAAAAAAAGCTGTTAAGTGAAATAAGTAAGTTCAGTTAAATTGTGGGATACAAATTCAGTATACAAAACATCATATGTATTTCCATCCAACTTGAATATTAAATTAATAAGAAAGCAATTCCATTTACAAATGACATTTAAAAAAAGGAAACAGATAAATTTGATTTAAAAATATGCAAGATCTATAGACTGAAAATGACAAGATACTGATGCGAGAAATTAAAGAAGACTCACAAACTGGAGAAAAACATTACATTCATGGATTGGAAGATTCAGTATTGTGAAAATGTCTATTATATGCAAATTGACCTATAGATTCAATGCAATCTCTAGTAAGCTTTTTTTTTGTAGAAAGTGAAAAACTGATTTTAAAATTGATGTGGAAATGCAAAGGACCAAGAAGAGGCAAAACAACTTTGAAAAAGAAGAGTAAAACTCAAGGATTTGCAGGACCTTACTTTAAGACATATTATAAAGGTAGAGTAATCAAGAAATCAAGTGGTATTGAAATAAAGACAGACAAATAGATCAATGGGAAAAACAGTGTCCAGAAATCAACCTTCACATATTTGATTAATTGATTTTCAACAAAACTGTAAGGTAATTCAGTGAAGAAAGCATGGACTTTTCCAATCATAACACTAGAACAATAAGATATGTACATGCAAAAAAACCCAAAAAACAAAAAAGAAAAAAGAAAAAAAAGAAAGGACTCCAACACATACCTTCACCATACGCTAAAGGATTATAAACTTAAATGTAAAACCTAAAATTACAAAATGTTTAGAAAATAGAAAATCTTTGTGACATGAGATCAGGCAAATATTCCTTAAATAGGACACCAAATTCACACATACACACACAAAAATTAAGTTGTACTTCATCAAAATTAAGAACTTCTGCTTTTTTAAAAAGAAGTGCTTTTTGAAAGACATTGTTAAGGAGAATGAGAAGATAAACTACCAACCAGAAGATAATATTTGCAAAGAAAATATATATTAAATGACCTACTATCCAAAATACATAAAGACTCTCAAAACTCAGAAAACGTACAGCTCAATTTAAAAACTGGCGAAAGATGTAAATAGATATTTTACCAAAGAAGATAAATGGTTGTCAAATAAGTGCATTGAAAGATGCTCAACATCACTAGTTATTAGAATTATGCAATTCAAAACCACAATAAGGTGGCACAACACATACTTATGTCCAGAATGAAAACAAGATTGACCATATATTAAGGGTTGGCAAGGATGTGGAGCAACTGAAACTCTCATATGCTGCTGCTGGAAATGTAAAAATTATAATGCCACTTTGGAAAACAATTTGACAGTGTCTTTAAAATAAGTTAAAACATACATCTACCAAATAGCTCTGTCATATTCCTAGGTATTTAACCATGAAATATGAAAACATATGTCCATACACTCATTTATACATGAATGTTGCAGTTTTATTAGTAATATCGAAAAACTGTAAACAATCCAAACATCCATCAATAAATCAATGCATAAACAAATTGTAGTGTATTCATACAGTGGAATACTACTCAGCAATAAAAATGAATGAACCACTGATACATAAAATACCATGGTGAAATCTCAAAATAATTATTCTGACAAAATAATTCAGACAAAAAAGAATACATACTATATGATTCCACTTCTATAAAATCCAAAAAATGCAAACCAAACAATGACAGAAATCAGATTCAGTAGGAGTAGGGCAGAAGGGAGGCATTACAAAGGGGCAAGAGAAAATGGTTGGTGATGATGGATAAGCTTATTATCTTGATTGTGATGATGGTTTCACACGTATATACAAATGTCAAATTTTATCAAAGTATGTACTGTAATATGTGCAATTTATTGTATGTCAATTATACCTCCATACACCTGTTTTAAACATGAATAAAATAAACACTACTCCCAGAGGCATTTTGAATGCTTGAGTAGCCAAAATCCTAGGCTTGCCCCTATCTACTTCATCCAGTTACTTATATTGCTCCTGTGCCTAAAGGAATAATGAGTAGCACACTGAGATGATCTAAATGACAGGAAGACATAAAATGCCATTAACTGGCACATCCACTAAATACTATGCAGTGAAACAAACAATAATTATTTAAAATTTCTATAGAAAAAAATTAATTATGAGAAGAACAAAAATGATTTTTCTTAGTTTTGCTTCAATAAAATATAGTAAAAAATCACAGATACTCACCTCTTTGGATAATCTTGTGAAGACATCTCCTCCCCTGAGAAAATCTAGTATTAAATACAGCTTCCCTTCAGTCTGAAAGGCTAATTATAAACTAGACTTTAGTAACAGAACAATCTTAAAGGTTTAACAAGCTTAGTATAAATTTTAATTAATAAACATATTTAGAGTTTTATCATTAAACACTATAAAAGAACTAAGAATTTGTTCAACTGTTCCAATGTTATTGGGTAACGTTATTTCAGTATTGAATTTAGTGTTGAAATAGCTATAAACCCCTTCCCAGAACATAATCAACTTTGCATGTGGCTTTACACAGACATGTCTACCACCGTCGTTTTCCTGATTTATGGATCAATGATGTTCTATTGCAAAATGCCTGAACACTCAGCCTCCCTACCTACTGAAAATCTAATTCTTTCAAGCTCAACAAAAATGCCACCTCCTCTATTAAGCTTTCCTCTATTAAGGATTTCTCTCTTTTCACATTTCCCTATAGCATCCATATCCTCTTCTGCCTAAGAATTATTTGGTACTACTTTTGAGATCTCTTTGTCTTTATTTATGTTTCTCTTATGGTACTTACTCATTTTGGTATGTTCAGTTAATTTGTTTACATGTCTGTGTTCCCAGAGGTATAAATCATTTTGAGATCAAATCTCTGATCTTTCGCCTCTAGTGCCTACTGTATTCAATTCAGTTTTGCACACAATTGGTATTTACTGATTAATGTAATGTAATCCTAGAGATTTAAGGAAGGAGAACGTTAGATACTACTATTTTCCATTTAGGATTAACAGGGAGTGACAAAAAAAAAATGGGTGGACATTTCTTGAGTGTTTTTTATAATAAATAATTTAATACATACTTTACTGCATTATTTTTCAAAATTACCTAAGAATTTTTTAAATCTACTGCTACTTTTTTTAAATCTTGAAATTTTAAAATGACATGTAGAATGTATCAGTGATTTAATGATGTATATACCTTTGAATTCTCGAGGAAAACCAAACTTCACAATCTCATGCATGCATTAAATTATCAATGGAGCCATGACTCAAACTCAGAACAGTCTGACTCCAAATTCATGTTCTTTCCATTATACCTATATCCTTCTTACTGATATTCCTCGCCCCCCAAATATAAGAAAGAATAACTTAAATGGACTAATATACCTACATGGTCCTCTCCAATAGAACTAGGAAATAATATATTCATTATGAACATGTAAGAGGAACACATCCAAACACCAGATGCTTTGAATAAATTATCACAATTTATAGCCTAACATCATTAAAGGTACAGCCTAGCAGAGTAAAGAAATACTATCATACAAGTAATCAGAAGATACCATCTTATTTTCTTACACAAGTTAACCAATAGATACAGAAAATACAATTCAAAGCTGGATATTAATTCTTATTCCTATTTCAGATGAATATATTTTACATAATTGAATTATTAAATCATTTGGAAGTATTTATTTCCTATTATATTATTGCTTGAAATGAAAACTTAACTCTCTAATTCCATATATTGAAAAAAATTACGTACCATAGTGTAATTTGACAATAAATGGATGATTTACTTCCACCAGTATATCCCTCTCCATCTTTGTCCGAACTCTGTCTTGAACTAAAAATTATAGAAGAGTAGAATATATTACTCTTGTATATAAAATTTCAGTAGAGATCCCATCAATAATTCACCAAAAATATGAAAATATAAAATACAACTTTATAAGTGTCTAAATTTGCCTAAATTTGCAGCCTATATATTCCTAGGCAGTAATTAGCATATTCTCAAGAAGCCAACAAATTTAGTTTCTATCTAGAGATGGGTTAAAGTGACATAAATACATATTGGGGTAATATGCATTTATTACGTATTGGTCTCCAAATGTTCAAATGAGTTTACTGATTAAAACTGAGCAGTGTTATTGTTATCACAGCCTAGAAGATGGTGTATCCAAGAGGTTGTGCTTTTTCAATATGCAAAACAAACACAAATCGGACAGAAAAAAATTTAGAATCTTGAAATAAAAGAATATAGTTCAATAAAAAATTCACTTTAAATAAAGTAAAATGTGTCACTTTTTATACCATTAATTTTTTACCAGGGTACAGTCTCACTAAATCATAGCATATGTCAATATCAAACCTAGAAATATCACTTACAAGCTAGAAAACTGTAACAATTAGTAATGTTTAAAAAAAAACTGAATCTACTCGATGTATACAAGCAATACGCAGCATATTTGTTAAAACAAACTTTGTCAAATTCTATTTTATTAAACTTTCTCATTTTCTACCTTTTAAAGAAGCTTTTTTTAACACCTTCATTGCATAGAGCTGCCCAGCATCAGGACCGGTCTTCTTTCGAACAAGAAAAACCTAACAGAGGAATTTTTTGAAAAAGTAAAATTTACATCTCAAGATATTCTTGCTATACACATGTATTTGTGCACATTTAGGTCCGTATATTTTCTCTAATTTTATAAAGATAGATCTTTATAAATTAGACTCTTAGTGGATATTTTTCTCACTTTCATTCATTTACTAAATTACAATCTCATATACATTACTTTAGGAAAGAAATTTTATAAAAAAGATGACATGGTCAAGGACTTTAAGAAATTTGTGATATACAAGATAAGCAACATAATGAAGGGCAATTGATCTAAAGGAACTCCTTTTAAGACCCAAGCTCCTTTTTGTTCCCTTAATAAAGACCAAAACATGAAATGACTATTAATTTGATATCTTCATTCCACTTCCTTATTGGTCCATTTTAGAAGTTAGCATACATTTAATTTTCTGTAAGAAATCACAGGGATTTATATCTGTCTTCCAGGTTGAAGAATCAAGATGGCTAATTATCCCAATAAATTAAACTCTTGATGGTTCCTAAGCAAGCTTAAGTAATAATATCTCATATTTTAAAATTAAGATTATTACTCATTAGAGTTAAGTTTCTAGGGGCGCCTGGGTGGCTCAGTCAATTAAGCATCCAACTTCAGCTTAGGACATAGTCTCGTGGTTCATGAGTTTGAGCTCTGCATGGGGCTCTGTGCTGACAGCTCAGAGCCTGGAGCCTCCTTCGGATTCTGTGTCTCCCTCTCTCTCTGCTCCTCCTTGGCTTGCTCTTTGTCTCTCTGTCTCTCTCCCTCAAAAATAAGTAAATATTTTAAAAGTAAGGTTTTAAAAGGCCTCAGTTATAAAGATAAATATTAATAGATTGAAATTTTATAGGAGTTAATTTTTAGTAAAGGGTGGTTTAATTTTTAAAAAATAGTAAAAGTTGTTCACTGCTTTGAAATAAATGATATGGAAACTAAACAACAACAGAACAGATCAATGAAAGCAGGGGCTGGTTCCTTGAAAGAACTAATATGGGGCACCTGGGTGGCTCAGTCAGTTAAGTGTCAGACTTCAGCTCAGGTCATGATCTCACAGTTTGTAGGTTTGACCCCACGTAGGGCTTTGTGCTGACAGCTCAGAGCTTGGAGCCTGCTTCAGAGTCTGTGTCTCCCTCTCTCTCTGACCCTCTCCTCGTCACGCTGTCTCTCTCTCTCTCTCTTTCTCTCAGAAATATAATTTTTTAAAAATTTTTTAAAATTAAAAAAAAAGAACTAATAAAACTGATAAACCTCAAGCCAAATTATCAAAAAGAGGAAGGACGCAAATGAATAAAATCACAAATGACAAAGGAGAAATAATAATGATCACCACAGAAATACAAACAATTGTAAGAGAATATGAAATACAAATATAAAAAATTATATGCCAACAAATTGGGACAACCTGGATGAAATGGATAAATTCCTAGAAAAACATAAATTACAGGAATTGAAACAAGAAGAAATAGAAAACTTGAACAAACCAATTACTAGCAATGAAATTGAATCAGTAATAAAAAAATTCCCAACAAAGAAAAGTTCAGGACTAGATGGTTCACAAAGTTCTACCAAACATTTAAACAAGAGTTAATATATATTCTTCTCAAATGATTCTAAGAAATAGAAAAATAAGGAAAACTTTCAGATTCATTCTATTAGCATCACCCTGATAACAACACCAGATAGAGACCACAAAAAGAGAACTACAGGCCAATATCCCTGATGAACACAGGGATGCAAAAATTCTTAACAAAATATTAGCAAAATGAATCCACAATAGATTAAAAAAAATAAAGGTTGCCTGGATGGATCAGTCAGTAGAGCATGTGACATTGATCTCGAGGTTGTAAGTTTGAGCCCCACTTGGGTATAGAAATTAATTAAAAATAAAATCTTAAAAAAAATCAACTATCAGGGAGCCTGGGTGGCTCAGTCGATTGAGCATCTGACTTCAGCTCAGGTCATGATCTCATGGTTCATGAGTTTGTGCCCCTTGTAAGGCTCTGTGCTAACAGCTCAGACCCTGGAGCTTACTTCAGATTCTGTGTCTTCCTCTCTCTCTGCCCTCCCCCGCTCACACTCTGTCTGTCTGTCTCTCTCCCTCAATAACAAATAACCATTGAAAAATTAAAAAAAAACAAAAAACAAAAAAACTACCATTCACCATGACCAATTGGGATTTATTCTTCAGTTACAAGGGTGGTTCAATAGTCATAAATCAAACAACATGATATATAAATTTATTAAAGGAAAGGACAAAAACATTATGATCATTTCAAAAGATGCAGAAAAAGCATTGACAAAGTATAATATCCATTCATAATAAAAACCCTCAAGAAAGTAAGATTAGAGGGATCAAACCACAACATAATTAAGGCCATATATGACAAACACACAGCTAATATCATTGTTAATTGGGGAAAACTGAGAGCTTTCTTCTAAGGTCAGGAACAATACAGGAAAATTGACTCTCACCACTTTGATTTAGCATAGTACTGGAAGTCTGATCCACAGCAATCAGACAAAAAATAAACACAAATCATCCAAATTCTTCCTTGCTGGAAGGAGTCAAACTGTCCCTATTTGCAGATGGCATAACACCATACATAGAAAACCCAAAAGACTCCACAAAAAAAATACAAAAACTCGGGGCACCTGGGTGGCTTAGTCGGTTAAGCGTCCGACTTTTGCTTAGGTCATGATCTCGCGGTTTGTGGGTTCGAGCCCCGCATCGGGCTCTGTGCTGACGGCCAGCTCAGAGCCTGGAGCCTGTTTCAGTCTGTGACTCCCTCTCTCTCTGACCCTCCCCTGCTCACGCTGTCTCTCTCTCTCCTAGAAATAAATAAAACATTAAAAAAAATTTAAAAAAATACAAAAACTCATAAACAAGTTCAGTAGAGTCACAACATACAAAATGAGTGTACAGAAATTCATTACATTTCTATACACCAATAATCAAGAAGCAAAAAGAGAAATCAAGGAACTGATCCCATTTCCAATTGCACCAAAAACCATAAGATACCTAGGAATGAACGTAATGAATGAGGTAAAAGATCTGTACTCTAAAAACTATAGAATACTGATGAAAGAAATTAAAGAAGACACAAAGATATGGAAAACCATTCCATGCTCATGAATTGGAAGGACAAATATTGTTAAAGTTTCTACATTACTCAAAGCAATCTACACGTTTAATGCAATCTCTATTATAATACTACAGTATTTTTCACTGAGCTAGAACAAAGAGTCCTAAAATTTGTATGGAACCACAAAGTACCCTGTATAGCCAAAGCAATCTTGAAAAGAAAAGCAAACCCGAAGGCATCAAAATTCCAGACTTCAAGTTATATTACAAAGCTGTAGTGATCAATAAACTATGGTACTGTCAAAAAGCAGACACATAGATCAATGGAACAGAATAGAAAATCCAGAAATGAACCCAGAAGTATATGATCAATTAATCTTTGACAAAGTTGGAAAGAATAACCAATGGATAAAAAAGTCTCTTCAACAAATGATGTTGGGAAAATGGACAGTAACTTGTGAAAGAATGAAACTAGACCACTTTCTTACACTACACACAAAAATACATTCAAACTGAATGAAAGACCTATGTGAGACAATAAACCTTTCAAAACCCTAAAGGAGAACATAGGCAGTAACCTCTTCGCATCAGTTATAGCAACTTCTTACTAGGTATGTCTCTTGAGTCAGGGGAAACAAACGCAAACATAAACTATTGGGACTTCATCAAAATAAAAGTTTTCTGTACAATTTAGGAAACAATCAACAAAACTAAAAGTTAACTTACACAATGGGAGAAGATTTTTGCAAAATACACATCTGATAAACAGTTAGTATCCAAAATATGCAAAGAACTTATCAAACTCAACACCCAAAAACTAAATAATCCAGTTAAAAATGGGCAAAAGAGGGGCACCTGGTTGGCTCAGTTGGTTAAGCATCTGACTTCAGCTCAGGTCATGATCTAATGGTTTGTGGGTTCGAGCCCCGCGTCGGTCTCTGTGCTGACAGCTAGCTCAGAGCCTGAAGCTTGTCTTCAGAATCTGTGTCTCCCTCTCTCTCTAACCCTACCCTGTTCATGCTGTCTCTATCTCTCTCAAAAATAGGGAGAGGGCAAGATGGCGGAGAAGTAAGGAGCTCCGTACTTGCACTCGCGCCCATACATCACACAGAAAAGATCCGAAGACATTGGAAACCTTACAAAACCTGAGAGATTGGGAGAAAAAAGACGCAGAATCCACTGAGAGAGCCTTCTAACCGGACTCCGGCTTAGAACACCCTGCGGGCAAGCCCCCGCCCATGCGCGCCAGCCCCACCCAGAGAAGGAAGCAGCGATTCTGACTCC